TAATCCTATATTTGAATACCGCAGTTTATATGATCAATCAATAAACAATAACGAAACTGGTAAATCAACACTAGAATGGTCACGGAGAAACCCAATTGAAAAAAAATTCCGGACATTTTGCCAATCAACAATTCACTATAAACGATATGTAACTTACAGTCTACCAACCTAGACGACGACATGTACTATCTGATCTCCTGACTGCAATTCCAACAGCTTTCCTGGGTTCCTGCACCACTCCCAACTACAATTTCGAAGCTCTCCTGAATTTTGCTCTCCTGTAGCAACTCCTAACTTTGTGAAATAGTTTATCTCATGTGAATTCACGAAGAACACCGCGTTCTTCATATACTGGAACTCTAGTCAAGCTTTCTCGATTTTCAGAACTGTGATCTGATGTAGAGGAAAAACAGTTTGGTATTTGGATTATGGAATCGATGTTTTTCTCACCAAAATAATCTTACAAGATGAATGTTGAAAGTAAGAATATGATAGTATTCTCTCAAATGAAGTTCTCTTAATGATCAATCTTATCAATTTTCGTGCAAAAGAGTTTTGGTTTATATAGGTGGGTTAGAAAAACGAATGGATCAGAAAAAAAGCCTTTAAAACTCGAAATAAAAATTTGCGAATAAAGTTGTCGTTCGAGCAAGGGTTCGGCGACAGCATGTCGCTCGAGCGAAGGAGGGGCGACAGTCCAACGACTATGTTTTTATTTTTGTAGCTCAAGTCAAACCTTATCGACAGTCTAGCAAAAATCCGCGCCGTTTTTCTCATTTTGCCATTCTCAAACCCTAGGCTTAATAACCTTATTTTAAACGTATTAGCACATTACTCTTTGACTTTTTAAATAAAGTACAATTCAGTTCTTTTTGTTTACAGAATCGCCAATTATAAAATATTGAAAACCTAACACTTACGTTATAATTAAGGTTTAGGAGTATTATGGTTGGAAAATAATTAATCTACAACACTTCTCTTAATGAATCTTTACTCAACAACTATTTCATTAAAAAATTAATGGGACAAAAATGCCAAACCAAAGGAAAAAGGGTGAAAGGAATTTGGAATTAAAAAAAAATGTTGCATACCTCGTTAAAACTTTGTCAGGAACTCAATTGAACAAAATTTGAGAGAAGGAAAAAGAATACAATAACTCCCTCTAATTTCAATAATGAAATTCTTGCATAGAGCTGTCAATATCTTGTGTGACGGTGATTAGTGTCACAATTCTGGTGAAATATGTTTAATGTCATTTTTTATAGCCTTCAAGATTTACCATTTTCCATACTAATAATCATTGATGGTTGTAGTCGGCATGGTGGTTGGGTGAAAAACAGAACTTCTTGTTGCTCTCTTTAGAAGTACAATTTGTAACAACAAAAGTACCGAGTCAATGGTAAATATTTTGTAGATTATGGACATTTATTATATATAAAAAAAAATATTCCATTAAAACTTTACTGAAACCATGTGGAGAAAGTGTCAGTGAAGGAAAAGGAATATATTATTTTTTGAATACGCTATAGAAGTTTTTTCGTTAAACACCGTATCATAAAAACTCTTTGATACAAACCTTGGTTAAGGAAAATAGAGGACAACATATATTTACTTCTCATCATCATAATATCACTTGAATTTATGGGTGGACATTTTTTCCCGAAACCGATGGAATCGGATTGGAACCAAATTGAATCGGTCGGTTTGGCTCCAGTTTCTCTACTAAATGGGTCAATTTTGGGACTATATATTAAGTACCAATCGATTCCGGTTCGGTTCTCGGTATTTCCTTGAGAATCAATAGTAAATTCGATTATATCAAATTTCTCTTTTGACTTGCACCAAGATGCATTAGATGTTAAGCACTAGACCCCAAAATTATCTCACGTTAAAATTTTATTTTTCATACGTTTCTTCTTTCCTTTAATGAGTAATCAAAATTCAAGCCTAAATAAATTTTATAAATATTTTATAAATTCATAGTTTTAATGAAATGCAATAGAACAAATATATTTTTAGTTTAATATTTCATAAGAATTAAAATTTATCATTATTTTCAAACTGGCCGACCATCAAGAATCACAATCCTTAAGAATTACTAAAAACAATCAGTCTATTATTATATAAATTTTCTTAAAAATTAATTTTCGATCAACATTACCGTTTATGCTGTATTTAATAATTTATCATTTTTTCGCCTTTATAAGTAGATTTTGAACTTTCAAGTGTATATTTGTTTGTCACCTTGTTTAATAGATTTTTTGTATCGTTAGATTATAAGAGTGACATGTAGTTTCATATTATATTTTTGTCTATTTTCAATTTGACAAGTAATTTCCTATTTTATTTTTATAATTTTTTTCAATATAAAGAATCGGATTGAACCGAATCTGAACCGATCGGTTTGGTTCTGATTCGATTATATAATTGGATATGGAACCGATGGTTCCATTTCTAAGATTTTCATTGGTACTCAATTCAATTCCCTTCAAAATTGGACTGAATCAGACCGTACTTCTACTTGAATTATGTGCTCCAACATGCTAAATCATTC